GGGCGCCGTCCGAGCTCCGCCGGTCGCGTGCCCGGACGCTCAGGGCAGGGGTGGGGAGTGGTACCTGGAGGCCCATGCCGCCACGTGACCCAGTGCGGCTCCCCGCCAACCTTGGCCGCTTGCACCTCGTCTGATGTCCTGCGCCCCACCGGCCCCAAGAAGGACCTTCGGCCACACCTCGGTCCGGCACACTAACTGTAGAATGACCAGGACCATCCTCCCCACGGTCCTCACCACCCCAAGGGGCATCGGGAACAATTCCTTATTCAATGCTCCAGGAGCTCCTGGCCCAGCCGGGCTGCCCGGTTCCTGCCTTGCTTAGCTTTCATGTCCTCGTTTATGAAATGGGAATCGTTTGCATCCTGGATCAAGGAGCCCTGGTGGCCAAGTGGGCTAAGTATTGGGCTGCCAACTGCAAGGTTGGTGCTTCAAATCCACCAGCCTCTCTGCAGGAGGAAGATGAGGCTGTCTCCTCTCCTAAAGATTACAGTCTCAGAAACCCACCTGTGTTAAAGGGTGGCTATGAGGGAGAATGGTCGGAGGCAGTGGTGGATGGTTCTAGAGCAAGAACATTATGGAAGCCTAGGGCCACTGTTCTGGAGTCTTGGCATCATATTTGAGCAGTTAGACACTCAGTCCCCTAGTCAAGCGCTGATGCCTTATAAAACTGGTTGTTTCTGAAACGGTGTTTGGGCCCCAGGGGTTCCCATCACCCCTTTACATAGGGTTGGGAGTCTCCCTAGCATCTGTGCCTGCACAAAGCAAGAGTTCTTCAGCCTCGAGGGAGACAACACACGCCTTTTCAGGCACATTTGAAGGCAGCTCCACATAACTCTGATTAAAACACCATCGATTGGGTGGAATAAAGCCTTCCCCTCCAGCAAAAGACAACAACAGCGATTCAAAGCAACACCCCCCAAGCCAGCGACAGGGACGCGCAGTCACATAGGTAATAGGGGCTGGATGGGAGTTGACCATTATTAACAGTAAGGCTCCAAAAATTGTTGTGCAGAGCGAAAGCCATCCAAACATCCACCAGACCACAGAACCCCTTGATTTGCCCTCCTTCCCTGAGATCTTGCCCCACCCGAGAAATAGGTCCTGGAGTGGAGGAGGGAAAGTGCGGTTGCCAGCATGTATTGTAAAGTCAGCGTGTGTGCCTGGGCCTGGATTCTCACCGGTGGTCCACAATGGGAGGAAGACGGTGCTTCTGGTGGCATCATGGTTACACGTTAGGTTGCTAACCACAAGGTCAGCAGTTTGAAACCACCAGCTACTCCTTGGGGGGAGGGAGGATGACGCTTTCTACTCTCATAAAAAGTGGGAACCCGATGAAGCAGCTCTGCCCTGTCCCATGGGGTCACTGCGAGTCAACCTGGACTCGGTGGCAGTGAGTGGCCCTATAGAAGAAAGACTAGTAGTGGGCTTCTGGAAAGACCATGGTCAAGGAATCAAGGACCCCCGCGCAGCTCGACCCCGTCGCGTGCTGGCGCTGGGTTGGACTGGGTCTGAGTCTGGTTTTTTAGATCCAAAGTGCTCGGCACGCTTACATCATGAATCCCATGAGGTAGCGCATCTCAGCACAGGGGGCTCCCAACTGACAATGAATTAAAGTTACAGCGAACTCCAAGTAGCCACCGTCTGGTTCTGCCTCCTGCTCTTTCTTTCCCACAGTGCATCGCCAGTAGCGTGTACCACAGACCACGGCTTAAGGTACCCAAAATCAAAGGCCCGGTTTAGAAAGATACTAAAAGGCAATCATAATGAAACCTTTTTTTTTTTTATTAAATAACTGAGGTTATTCGACATCTGTTGGAATGGCCTTCCAGCAGAGTCACTGGAATGGAACCTCGTCACAAGTCAAGGACTCCCTGGCTCCTAAGGAAACCTGGTGCTGCCAACAGTTCAGCATTCTGCCGCTAGTGGGGAGGTTGGTGGTTCAAAGCCACCCAACAGCTCTACAGCGGCAGTGGAGGCGGGGGCGGGGGGTACACCTGGAGACCTAGTTCCCTAAAGGTTACAGCTGAGAAATGGGGCCACTGGGAGTCATAATTAATTCAGTGCACCCCCGCCCCATCGGGGTTCCATTCTTTAAAAAGGAGGCAGCTGAGGGCCTGTCCAAGTTTCCACAGCCAGGCCAAGACTCCAGCCCCAATTTGTGGGTCTCTGGGTGAGGGTGGGGGTGGAGGGGGGGGATATCTGTGCAGCTCCTCCAGCTCTGAGCAGGCAGGGGCGTCGCTAACCCCTGCCCCCTCACAGCCCTGGGACACCACACTCTGGAGCCAGGCCCGGTCACCCAGGCTCCTATTGTTAGAAAGCTCTGTACCCCCTGACCTGCCTCCTGTCAGCAAGGGCAACCTTGTCTCCTCCATCTGCCTCCCATTAAGCCTCTGCCCCTCAGAGCCTTTTGATTCAGTGTGGAACCTCTCTCTCCTGACCTTACCACACTGCCCCTCATTGCCAAGCCTGCCTACCCCCTTCTTTCAACCCAAACCGAGAATGGGGGTGCTGGGGCCAGCACCCAGTGCCCAGTGAGTCCGCTCTTGCTTCCTGCTCAATAGAGAGTTTGGGAGTCCCTCTGACTATCCCAGGCGCCTTGGGGAATAGCCTTAATATATAAAGAGTTGTTCAGAACCAACAAGAAGGAGGCAAAGACACAAATAGAACAATAGGCAAGTCACACATAAGTGTCATCAAATATAAGGGAGGTGCTTAGCTTCTCTATCAGGCCAAGAAACGCAAAATTAGGACAACATAAAGGATTGAGTGCTCCCTCTCTAAGTGATAAGATTTAAAAAGCATGATGGGGCTCAGGGTACGGGAGGGGACACTATAACATTCCCTGGGGGCGTGGGGGGGGCAACCCTGGTAGTACTGGCTAAACCTTTCCGGATACCACTTTGTCAGTTTGCACCAAACCACTTTGAACTAACAATTTAATTTCCAGGATCATCAGACACTTTGAATAGCACAAGGAGGTGGAAACACCCCAGATGGTTGTCATAAGGGAGCTGTAAACTAATTGGGGGACATCTGTACTATGGGCTCAAACATAAGAACCATGGAGAGGCTGGTGCAGGGCTGGGCAGGGTTTCATTCTACAGTGCATCATCGGGTGGTTATGAGTCGGAACCGATTTGACAGTTCAGGACAATACCACACAGGAGACTAAACCCACGTGTACTTGTCTTCCAGGACTGCCGAAACAATGGCCCCAAACCGGGCAGTTAAAACAACATGGATTTTATCAAGGGTTCGTGAGGAAAGGGACTCGGGGAGAGAGGGGAAACATGAGGAGCTGATACCAAGGGCTCTAGCAGAAAGAAAATGTTTTGAGAATGATGAGGGCAACAAATGGACAAATGTGCTTGACACAATGGATGGATGGATTGTGATAAGAGCTGTAAGAGCCCCCAATCAAATGATTTAAAAAACACACACAACAAACATATATTTATTCTCCCACAGTTTGGGGGCTGAAGTCAAGTTGCTGGCCCACTGGGCTCTGAGGGGAGGCTCTGGGAAGGCTCCACTTCCAAGTTCATTCAGGACATTGACAGAAGCCAAGTCCTTGTGGTGGAGGCCTGAGGCCACTGACTCCTTGCTGGCTGTCAGCTTGTAAGGTGACCAGATTTAAAGCGGGACACCATTGACTGGGAGGGGGGGGGTCTTGATTAAAAAATTGGTCTATATGGACCAAATAGACCGTTCCCTAGCTTGTCGTGCATTCTTCCAAAAATCGAGGCTTTTTAAAAAACCGCCAAAAATCGGGACTGTCCCGCCAAAAGCAGGACGTCTGGTCACCGTAAGCTAAGGGGCCTCACTCGGCTCCTTGGGGCCTCTCTCCTGCCCGACCCGTGAGCCCTGGCATCTCAGCTATGGATTGAATTCTGTCCCCTAGAGATAGGTAGTGAATTCCTGGCCCTTGTGGGTGTGATCCTGGTGAGAACTCTTTTATCTTTGTTTTGCGAGTGAGCCCGTGCCAGTGTAAGGTGAACTCTCCCTGGAATCATTGCTGAGCTACAGAGAGACCGACTAAACAGGGTGGGACACACAGGAAAGGCAGCTGCCGAGAAACCTCCAGGCTCCCTGGGGACGCTGGGCCAAGAGATCCCTGGGGATGCTGGGCCAAGAGGTTCTCAGAAGGAATTGGCACCTCTGAGACCCTGACGTGGACGTTGCTGCCTCCAGAACTGTGAGGACATCACTGTCTGTTCTTGAACGTCCCCCGTCCCCCCTTTGGTCTTCCTGTCTGGGCAGCAGGAGGAAGCACTGGCAACCTCAGAAGCAGTCCGGCCTGGCATCTGGGACCTCTCCGACTTCTCCCCCACTCTCAGCCAGAGAAGGTGCTGTGCTTTTAAGCGCACAAGTGACTCCCCGGGGGCCCTGGGGCATCTCCCCGTCTTCAGGTCTGGAGCCTCCATTTCACTTGCCCTGCAACTTTCACATGGTCACAGACTCCGGGGGGGCAGGTGCAGCCATCCCTGGGGGCCGTTACAGATATCAATAGGGAATGATCTCGGCCCACATCTAGGGGAACCAGCCATCCCGGTGTACTTGAATCTGTTCTGCTTTTACTGCTCAAAGCCTAACGTCCCAGCAGACAAATCAGGGTGAGTGTTGACCTTACTGTTGCCTCTCAAGGCAAGTGATAGTGAACAAGCACCAGGACCGTAGCTAGGCGCTGTTCTGTGC